AGGGCCGAAGGTCCCTTAGAATAAACAAAAAGTTTTTTAATGAGATATTTGAAATTAAAAATCACACTAAATTTTGTCTTTTTTTTTCATCCCTATAACTTATTAAAATAAACATTATAGAAGTTTTCAGGGGACTTTCAGCTCTCGGTAATAATGTATTGTTTCATTCTGCGTTTAATTTTTTCAAAATATATTTATTAGTTTTCTCAGGATTCGAAAAAAATGAATGCATTTAAAAAACTTTGGCCGAAATTTTGCTCCTACGCTCTTAACGATAAACTAGCACGACCACCTCTACTTCTCGTTACTCGATCTTTTGACCAGACCACTATCTAGACTAGACGTTGCCAAATAAATTAGTGTATGAATATTTTTTAATTTGGTGTTATTGTATGCATGTTTAATTGTTTATTATTTCATATTGGGAAATTATTTTGATGTTTAGATTTTTAGTTCGGAAATCGTACTTAAAATACGAAACATTAATAAATTTTATTTATATAAAACGATTTCCGAAATGGAATCAAAATGTTATATTACAATTATTGTAAAGAAAACTTGTGGCATATTCCCAATAAAAAAAACAGTAACCTGCCATTTAAATCAATTTCGCCCAATTTGATTATCTTGAGCATTTTATCTTCTTGATAGAACATTGTTCAAATGCAAAAAAAGACAACAGGTCAAATAAAACCAATAAGTTTGGCAACGTTGAATTTCCCCTTTTTTAATATTTCCATTCGGCGATATAAAGGGCGTACCTAATATACCTCTCTCTTTTTAAACAGCTGTTTCTCACTCCATCTCACGTAAGGTCCATACCGACCATAAAATTTTTCCTACACTGTATACTCAGTTTTCCAGAAACGTGTTTTTGCAATTCGCCTTTACGCTTCCAAGCTCCTGACAAATATAGGATACGGTTTTAGAGATCGCCTAGTAACCAAAAAAGAAACCTAGGTGTAATTAAGTAAAAAATGTAAAAATATTTGATGCATGGTATAATCACCATAGATGAGTGGTACTTTGGCTCCAAAACAATCAAATAAAGACGTTAAGGAGTGGTGTGAACACGTTACTGTGACTCCGAAGTGAGCTAGGGAGCAGATATCAACAAAAAAGTGTTGTCTCACAGCAAAATTAATTCCAATTGGTAAAACAATAATAAGAAAATGTTGACTCACAACAAAATTAATTCAAATTGGGAAAACAATAACAAGAAAATGTTGACTCACAACAAAATTAATTCAAATTGATATAACAATACCATCTTATTAGTACCGTATAATTAATTAATAATTAAATGTATTCTAAACAAAAGTGTCAGTATAAATGCTTCTACTAAAAATCTCTTCTAAAAAGCTAAATGTGGTAAGAAAAAACTAGCTCTCAGTTCAGGACTTGACTTCGATACTGTACATTTTGACTGATACTTTACTAAAACTAAGATAAGTAACTTAATTGTGTTAATGTTTATGTTTGTGCCGATGCTTCGTCCAGTAGATACGTCTGGAGAATGATAGCGACTGGATCTGGAGGATCCAGGACTTGCGTGTCGACTTCGTGAAGGGGACGATGACTTTCTATGTTTACTAGTATCTCTATATCTTTTGGGAGAATATTTATCAAGCGAACTGGGCGACGCTGAATCTCTGTTCTTTCTGGAGGACCGGGACGGGGAAGAGTGTTTCTTTATCCTTGGAGGGCTGGGGGTTTGTAAACTTCTTTTTTTACGGGAAGGTGAACGACTTTTTGACCTAGAAATTATTTATATAAATATCGTATTTTAACTTAAGGTTACTCTACGGTTATACTTCTCAAGCAGTGCTATTGTACATTTGACAACATTGCATATAGACCGGTTTAACAGTTTATTTCTATGGTATGTTTTATTAAGACAATTTTTTTTCCTGTAAGGAATGGCACGAGATTTCCTATCACGTTTATCGTTTATCACTATCAGTGGAAATAGTGGATGTTGTTTCAGGACATAAATATGTTTCTGAAATATTTTTTTGCGAAGTTCTACATATGTTTCTGAAACTGCCGCTTATAATATAGTGTTTGACATTCTCACCTGAATTTATTTCAGAAAATCCAAACTTTTAAAATCTCGGATCTAAAAATTTACTTTTTTCTACATTTCCAAGCCGCTCAGTTAAGCCAGGCAGATAAAGTTCTTAGAACTTCGTTAATCGGTTGGGAAAATCTATAAACATTTATCAAACTATTAGACATGGGAATTACTAATGATCCAGTTTAGTACAATTCTCCACTAATGATTTTTATAGCATTTTCGAATACATATTTTAATTTTATTTAATTTTGTAGAAATTCATTAGGACATTGATTATTATTTTGATGTTTGATTTATGTCAGAAAGACACTCGTTTCTGTTTAATATATTTTTTGTTGTTGATAACTAGCTCTCGATTGTTATAATGGTTACGTACAAAGTGACGCCAAATACGAATATTTAAATTTTTTGAATTTATTCAGGAAATCCAATATTAGAAAATTATAGTATTAATTATCGTAAGACAGAATGTAATTATAGATATTGCTTAGTTTATCAATATCAGTTTTTTTATTAACGCTTTGATATTTTATTTATGCATACCATTTCTAAGAATTCTTTTATTTAATTGGTTTTCATGTCTTAATATCTTAGTTTCATTGAAATTAAATGAATGATTTTTATTAATTGCATGATCTATTAATGCACACGTACTTTTATTATTTCTAAGGTCACTTTTATGTTATGTTATTCTGCCTATTAGATTTCTAGATGTGTGTCCGATGTATGATGTCCGATATATGACTTATCACAATTTTTGCATGGTATTCTATAGACTACATTTGAGCTTTCCATAATGCTAATAGTTGATTTAGTTTTTCTATACAATGATTGCTAATGTTTTTAATATTTTTAGTTGCAATTTTATATTTGCAAGTTTTAGTTGCAACGATTTGTTGATTTGGTTCCCTTGTTTGATTCACTATTATCTAAATTATATGACCTTGTAAAAATATCATTCAAAAATTTTGCTAACTTAGTGTTTGGTGGACTAATTGATGATACAATTGGTCTCATTGTTAAGTTAGGTTTATGTACTTTTGGTTGTGTATAAAAGGGTGGTGTAACAGAGTTATATATAGTGAGAGTTTAGGCTTCTTCTTTAGTGATCATTTCTTTATTTTTCAATTTGGTAACTATTTTGTTAGCTTTCTGTTGCAAGGTACTTGTGGGATTGTTTTGTAATTTTTTATAATATTTAGGATCATTTAAAAGTTCATAACTTTTATTAAAGTAGTCATCTTTGTACATTGCAATAATCACATTTCCTTTATCACTTCTCACGATGAATATCACAGGGAGTTATTTGATAATTTTTTTACATTCATGATATAAACTATTTAAAAAATGATTATTATTTTTATTTTTATGTAAATAGTTAGTTATGATGTTTAGTGCATTGAGCTCTGACTAAGTTTTTTTATTTTCAGAAAATCTAGTTATTCTACTTTCGATATCAACCAGTATATTTGAAATTTTAAAATCTTTAAGTGTTGGTAATAAATAGAATTTTAGACCTAATGCGAGTATGTTTCTTACATTATAAGGGAATTCAATGTTCGTTAAATTTTAAACCATTTTTCTTTAAAAGTGATAGAGTTATTATTATTATTATTTGTTTTATTTATTTTCCAAAAAACCCATTTTCAACAGCTGTCCTAACAAGTAACTTACTTCCCTGGACTAATACTTTCTACGGAAAATTGTTTTCAAGTATATACATGTATATGCACATACAATTCATATGCCTAGGAAGTCCACTGTTCCAAAAAGTACTTTAAACTACCAAATTCAATTGGTAAAGACATGGGTCTGCATTTGCCATACCGAAAGATCCTTCCAGAGTGGCTTCTTTCAGAGCCATTCCAAATTAAAAGTTATACAATACTTACTTTGAGATCTTTTAGTCTTACCTACGCCTTGACGTTGAACTACTCGAAGAACTTCTGTCAAGCTTTTTACTTTTTTTTGAAGTCCTACGAAATAAATTAAACCATAAATTACACATCTAAATATAAACTTGAAATATACATACAATAGAATATCATCTATTCTAATGAATCTAATCAAAATATTTTATAGGTTATTCCACGAATATACGACTGTTTGGGATTATTGCGACAACGAATATTTTACTGTGCAAGTAGAAGTATGAAAGTAAATGATCTAATTATTATTCCAATAAAAAGCATCTACTGTTAATATTACATCTGAACTAAAATTATTTTCAGTTAATAGATGTTCAAATAGACGCAAAATTTATTGTGAAATTTAATCACAAAATAACAACAATTTTTACGCAAACGCTCATTTTTACGAAAATGTGTTTTTTTTTTCATTTTTTTCATTCTCTCAAAACCTTATGGCAGTGACTTAACCCGTTGTTGCATAATACCATCCCAATATCCCATCATACCATCCCAATATGGAAACGGTTTATATAAATCGAATTGCGACATGATAACAGTAGATGTGGAACGTCATAGGGAATTTTATATTGATATAATGTTTTTAATAATATTATTTATATTATTTTATAATAATACTTTTTTAATCAAAGAAAAATTGAATCGATTTAGACGAAGATTCTAAAATCTGCCATTTTTTCACTTAAATTGATAATAAAATATTTACAAAAAAAAATATAACTTTTGTTATTCTATTTATTTTTTTCTACTCTAATTTTACTATATTTTTTCAATGGTATTTAATATAAATTATTGTTTTTGAGTACCAAATTTTTTAATACATTTTATTTTATCAAAAATATGATGTATAAAAGTCAAAATAATTCTAAAGTTATTGTTAGGAAATTTCTAAGCACTTGGTTGTACTGTGATGACGTAGAGATGTCATTATAGTTAATTTTTATATAGAACATGTTCATGAATAGGTATCAAATAAACAAAATTTAAGGCTATACTTACAGTTCCTTATAATAATGTTCATCATCGGAACTGTCTCCACTATTAAGCTTTCGAACGCTTTTTTCATAGTCGCGTTTATGCTTTTCACCTTTCGACGACTTTTCGTTTTTCTCCTTCTTTTCCTTTTCCGATTTTCTAAGCAACTTTCTCCTATAATGCTCCACTTGTTGAGGTAACGTCCAGCCACTTTTCAATTGCCTTTGTCCCGATTCTAGTTCGTCCTGATATTGTACAGCTTTTACTTCTATTTCTCTTAACTTCTGTCTCTTTTCTTCCGATAAATCTCTAAATAAAAATAGTTGCAATTTAAAATAGGTTAAGTTAGGTTAAGTTCAATGTAAAATGAACTTACCGATCCTGATACTCAGTATATTCTTGAACTTCATTTATACCGCTCTCCTGACTGTCATCCTGACTATTGTCCAACATATCCCATTTGCTTGTGGTCATGGCTTGCGCCTCAACTTGTTCTGGATCTACAGTTTCCCATTTTGACGTCACAAATCCACTAAAGGCATCCGGTTTTGTTTCTTCTTGAATCTCTTCCCCTAAAATAAATTATAACTCATTTAATAAAATTATTACTTTTAGTTGTAGATCTGACAATATTTTTTATAAAGTTGCTGAGTAATTAAAACATCGTAGGTTATTCAAGTTTTTTTATATTATAAGCGACTTCAATGCAAAAATTGGTGAAGGTCAAAGAAGTTAAACTGAAGGTCCTTATGGTCTTGAACAACCTAACTATTGAGAACAGAGATTATATTAATTCTGTAAAGAAAACATGATCATTAAAAACACCTGGTATAAACTACCCAAGAGACGAATATAAACTTGGAAAGCCGTAAAAAATTTTTGTAACGCCATCCGTTTTCAAGATACAAGATAGTAAAATTTTTTACTAACCCCAATTATTTTTCAGTTTTTTACCTACACTAGAGACATGGTTACCTTTTTTGAAACACTCTGTATATAACGTATAACAAACATCGAGCACAATTTGGTTAGGGATAATTCTCAGCAAAAAAAAATTTAATAACATTAAAAGAAAATATTTAAAAAAATTACCATCTATATCGAAGTCTTCTCCATCGCTCTCATATAACATCATCGCGGATTTCAAGAGTGTTCCGTCGACAGGATTGTCATCTTCAGAATATTGGGGATCTAGGGGATTGCCATCAATATCTTCAGCCATATCCTTATCAGAAGTTTTGTCTTCCTAAAGTTTTATATAGAATATTTTTACTATTTATCAAATTCTAATTTATATATTATCTAGATTACAATTTAAACAAATCAAGAAAATAAATATCAAATATACAATACAAACATTATCAATAAAATGCAGATCTGGTTACTGATATTAAAAGAAAAAAATATTTTTTTTATATCAATCTAAGGTACAACACCTTTCAAGGTTTTTAGCTTTAGAAGTGTAGTACATAGCAGATATTCCAAGACCGAATGTTTCTCCAAATTAAAAAAAAAATTCTCCAGTTTAAAAATCTTTGTGTTAAAAAATTTCGTTATTATTAGTATAGAAAAAGACCATTTAGTTTTATACCAGCTACATTTGGCATGGAATAAAAATTAACATTGGCTTTCGTCAAGTATTCCTAGCGCAGTCGTATGCAGCGCATTAATTGCCTACTGTCTCAACTCTCCCCTTTGTAGAATTGTAGTCAAGAATCATTTCGGGTTTCATGAAATCCACATCAATTTTATCGTCATGATGCAAACTAAACAAAAGGAGTACGTTTTTATTTCTTTTTGGTATATAGGACACCAAAGTAATATCATCCTGAAAAGCAAACATTCTGGATTGAATAGGTCTGCTTATGGGTTTAAAAAATTCATGAGGCAATTCCTTCTTATTTTTGCGATACGTTCCTAAAAACGTAAGTTTGTAATCATGTAAGTTTGTATATTGGTATGCTTGAAAACCAATTGTCAACAGTTATGTGCCGTTTTGTTCCTCTTAGAGCCTCACATAGTCTTTCACCACTTCCGATGGAGAATTACCTACAAGAAAAGGACCTGGAGATTGTTGCCCCAAATATGGCTCTAAATTGCGGGTATAAAAGGTCTTGGAATTCACTAGCACAAAAGTTTTTAATCGATATTTATTTGGTTTATTGGCTATATACTGTTCCGTCTTTATTCCAAAGTTCGTCTATGTTTACTTATAGTTTTCTTGGGAATGTCTGATATGTTTGTTTGTAGATTCAACAATAATTATCATGATGTCGTTAAAAAAATATTTCCAAATATCATTTGTGTGAATTTAGAACTCGACACGATTTGGTGACCTCGAGTTTAGTGTAGACCTCACCACAGACAGATAAAGTCAATGTAGATTATCAGCTACAAATCCCATTTGAATCGGAAAACTCTTCTGCTTAGTTCTCCAACCTTGGATATTCCATGTTCGTTTGCTACATCGTCTTCGCTTTTTCATTCCGTGTTCCCAGGCTGATTTTTTTCAGTAGTTTTTTCTACAGGTCTAGAGGAACATGCTCTACGTCCCAATTCTCTTCCAAGAGGACCACGATTTTCTGTTGGATTTATAGGAAAGATTAAAACACTCAAGACAAGTTGAAACAGAATAAAATATGAGGGCCCTTATGATTCGCCAGGTGCATTACATAAGCGTATGAGTATGGATACACTTTGTGTTCCTGCTCATACCTCGGGGGGGGGGGGGTGCTGACTACAGACTGCATGGCTCGTCCAGCATGTTATAGTATTGAGCATAGGGTGCACGCCATTTTTTACAATATAGATACCCCACCTCTATGGCCTGACTCTAATCGCTTAGATACAGAATTTAATACGAAAACTTGAAGCGAACTTGAACTTAGGAGAACTTGAATAAGAAAAGACATGAAATACTTATTATTAATTAATGTTATTTAATAAAATAAAATTACTAGGTACTTAATACTACTACTTCCTTAAATATTTATATTTTGTAATTTTTCTTACCTCCTCAGATTATACCCAGAAAGATATTGTTTAGTTTGGTCATAAAGTCTTTTGGGTATATTGTGTCATCCCACGCTTTTAAAACTCGCAATACTCTAACCCTAAAACCTTCTGCCTGCAGTCTACCTTCTAAATTATCGTAAGTTTCTTTGATGCACTTAAATATATCTACCAATTTTAACTCAAACGCCTTTCTAAAAAACGATGCCTTTGAGACTTTAACTTGACAGTTATGTAAAATATCTGAAATCAAGTAAAGTCGGGCAATCTTTTTGGTAAGGAGAGTGGTTTTATTGGATAGAGACTCAGCGATGCATTCAGCAACTTCCTCAGCTGCTTCGCTATGCTCGATGCAGAACACCATTGCTTCACCTATTTTATTTCTTTCGTGGGTTAATTGCCGTAATAGGTCTTCTAGCCTATCCCTCTGCCTGAAAAATTAAAAAAGTTAAACTGGAGTAGAAGCAAAATTGAAGTGTGTCAAACTTACGAATTAGAAAGGCTTCCTTTTGAACTTTCTTTAGAATCGTCCTCTTTTATTAACTCCTCTGGCATACCCAATGTGTAACAGTTCATGAGAGGCGGTTTCCATATGGATCCATCTAAAATTACACTCTTAATATCATATATGTGTATTGTAATAATATACGACAGGGAAATGAGCAAAAATACAGTGTTTTTTTATAGTCGCTGTAACTAGAGGTAGAGGATTATCTA